AGGAGGGGCCCTCCACCCAACGCCGCCGCAGCCAGGCCCTGCGGTGCGGGTGAGCAGCCCATGCTCGTGGCTGGCTGCCGTTCACCCGGCCAGCTCCGACACGTACACCTGCTCTCCGCCGTGGTACGGCACCAGCAGTTGCCACAACAGCCCAGCAGCTCCATCACCAGCTCACACCGCACCGAGCTTCCTTCTCTCTGTTCTTACGTTGCGGCAGGAGCAAGGCTTGTTCTGTTTTTAAGAGGGGTGCCTTTGCTTGCCAGCTGTTTTCAATCACAAGTGTATTCGGTTGTGTGATCTCCGACTCCTTGGTCTCAGGCCAAGCCTCTCTTGCACATCAGGCTGCTTCTCCCATTAAACTTGAACAGCACAACCAAGCTGGAAAGGGAGGCTCTCTTAAGAGGAAGACACAGACGCAGAGATTGGGCAAATGAACCCTTGACACAAAACTGGCCTTGTTGGTAAGGCATAATAGCATCATCCTGAAACACACACTGCAACAGCTTTCGTATTCCCATCTGTACTTTCTTCTGCTTTGGAAAATACTGTCAAAGGTCCTGAATGTGTGGCCTTCACAGCTTAAAAAAAACACATGAAAACAATTGCTCCCATGGCAGCATCGACATTTTCAAAACAATTATAAAAGAGTAAGAGTAAATGCCATTATAGCTCCTTATAAAGCATTTTTAGTTTGGATTATTTTTTCTACTCAAAATAAACGTCCCTAGGAGATGCAGTTTATAGGTCCTTGGTCCTTGATTTCCATGAGCTGATCCCTGCAGCGGTCCCTGTGCCGGGCCAGAGCGGAGACCATCCTGGCAGGGCTGAAGAGCGCTGGGTCCTGAGCACAAGCGTAGCCAGCATCGTCTGACAACGTTTCCCTAAGCTTTCTGGGGAGCCAAGCTTAGTGGGGTGCAGTCCAAGCGTTTTCAAAGATTGCGAGGACCAAATGCTTCACGAAACACAACTGTCATGCTCGCTTCTTCCAAATAAAAGTCACAAGGAGAGCTGATTTTCTGGTGCCCGCCTCTTATATGTGAGCTCAGTAGTTAGAAGAGACATACTGAAGTGAAGGGCATGGAAACAATATTCGCCCTGTCCTGAAAGAGTTCAGAGCAACACTTTCCACCTTGCAGAAGGGTGCTCCATGCTACAACGCACCTAACACACTCAAACCTTCTCGAGTGTTTCTAGACTACCAAGGAAAACTAGTCCTTTCTCATTTTCGTAGTGTCTTGCCTCTATTAAAAACAGATAGGAGAGAACATTACTTCTGCATGTTGTGCTAAATTGACTCTCAGCTTAAAAACCACACCGCACCAGACTAATGGCAGGGATCGTATCTCTGGTAGCAGCTTTTCAGAACATCAGTCTGCCAGTGAAGAGGCCTCTGTCTTATGGACTTCGAAATAGCCCGTTACCACAGCCTCCACGTTGGTAAATTAAATATGAAAGCAGAGAATGTAACTGGTTTTCTGATGTACTTTACATTTCTCCTTGCTTGAACTATAGAAAACTCTTGGAATTGTGACTGCCATGACTGCTTTTGTGAGCTGCTTTTTGGTCTAGCCTGCTGGATCTTTATGTCCACAAGTGCTTTGCAAAGATTCCTCCCCCCTCCCCGTGGCCCCCAACTAAGTTCATATGAAAATTGAATCTTCCAACAATTGTCACAAATTGCAACACTGGCAAGTCTGAGAAAGAGAAATCCCCTCATGAGACACACAATAAGGACAACAGCAGCAGATGATGCCTATAGGGCCTCTGCCTATGCACAAACCCCAACAGGAGGGGATGGCTGCTATGGGAAATGCTATTACCATTTGACCTCCCTGTAATTCAGTCCCTCGCCTCCTTGACTGCGTGCCTGCTGGCACCAGTTGTGCTTTGGTTCATGAAATGGAGATTTGTTCTGCAGAAGAAGCATCCACTGTGACACTGAAAAGCTCTCAGTACAATTTCTCTAATCCATATTAATATCTATCAACCCGCTCAGGATTTATCTGAACAGTCAAGAAGGTGAAGGCTGAAGGAATTATTCATGGCATTATTCAATCCATGCAGCTTCCAGCATGGCCATTCACTTCATTCAGAACATTTCATTTCCAGATTATTCCTCCTTGCAGGTTCTAGCGACCCAAGATAAGATACCCAGGCACGCACTACACGAGGGGCACAGGCACCAGGCTTTGCAGCCTGCAGGGCTGGCTATGAGAAGCCCAAGTTCTCTCTTCTCCAAACAGAAGCAGAGCCTGAAAATTCAAGAGCCGTGCACAATTCATAAAATCCTGCCCCCCAAGCATATTTTAGCTTCTCAGTAACACTCACATTGATGGCCTTTTCAGGCCTTACACACAAAGAAGAAAAGCAAAAATTGCAGCCATGTAAGCAGAAAAATATGCTACAAAACAGCAAATGCATAAAAACAGACTTTCATGTATTTCTGGGGCATTGCTCTTACACCGATGGCAATGAGCCTGGGCAAAAGCATTTTGCAGAACCGGTTTTGAAAGCAGCTGGTCACCATGACACTGTAACAAGGCTATTTTCATGAGTCTGGGTCTCCCTCCACCCACCAAAGCTGCAGATGGTCAGCATTAAACAGATTCAGTTGCAATAATTAATTTTTGGGGTTAAAATTTTGATCCAAGAATATTTGGGGCTTGCAGAAAGTGGTTATTTGCCCACCTAATACGATCTGGGATAAATGCTTTAACTTCCTTTATAGCAGGAAAATGTACATCTTCCAAAGGGATGTAACTTTGGATGGGGTCAGAATACATGCCCTGAACACAGACTGTGGCTGATCCAGTATGTACTGCCCTGTGAATCAGAGCTTTGAGAAATATCTCACAGAAAGCAAAGCTTCTTGGGAGACTTGTCCTATAATAGACCTTGAAAGGTTATAGAATACTAAGGCAACACTCTGGGTCTTTGCAAAATCACCAAGATTAAATTACTCTCCTATAAAAAAAGCTACTAATAGCCCATGAAGGGGCAGGGTATCAGAGATCATCATTAAAACGTCAACATCTGACACTAACCACTCTGGGGGTTTTAAGGGTCTCGTCCTGGAAAAACCCCATCCTGTTGCTGTGTTAGTGGGGTCTCATCAGCTTTCCGCTTTTGCTGTCACCATTTGTAGGGGAGACTACAAAAAAGGGCAAAAAGAAGGAATTTTGTTGCTATAACTTAACATTCCCGTACCTGGTTACTGGACAAAATGTAAGGATGCTTAGATTAAAGGCAGCCTGAGATGACCCCAGAGTCAGCACTCAAGAGATTTCTAAGAACTCTGTAAAGGAGGTCCTCAAAGCACTGTAAGGCCACGGTCCCCCTTCTACATTTAAGGGGGGAGGTGATAGTTAATTATTTCTAGAGTCCTCTGGAGCTTTATTTGTGGTTAAGTCTTTGCTACAATGATTACCAACAGACAGAGCATATACGAGAGAGCAGGAGCAAATACTACAGCAAGCAACAAGCTGAAGCACTGGTTTCGTCCCTAAATTAAAACTCTCCGAGTGGGAGACTTTCAGCGCCTCTCCCAGCAATTCATATAGCTCTATGAAAAGAACAGGATTTGCACCCCCATTTTGTGCTAAAAGCATCTTATTGCTACAGACAAAACGCAAATACAGAAACGTGGGGGAATATTTCTTTCTTACCACCACCACTGGGGACCACTTCTGGCACCTGGCAACACTCAGAGCAACAGGAGAATTCCCATCTCCTCCCTCCAGGGAAGTACCACTGTTTATGTTTCAAGAGATTTGCTTTCTCATTTGCCTATAAGCAAAAAAGACATTCTTCAATGAATGAAGGTAAAAATATTTTGTTTAGAAGCAAGATACAACGCAAACAACATGCAGCTGCTAACCCAGGTCACAAATTCTTTAACTCAAACTCTTCTTATGAAAATTACCCATCTTTCTCTTTTCTTTGGGGGAAAAAAACCTTATTTAATCCCTCTTCCCATGTACTAATATTCCACTCTACTCCACAGGTACCAACTACTATTGCTTTCAGAGGGTCTAACTGGCACATATCTACAAAATTAAAGGCAAGTGTTCTCAATTTATATTTAGTAGTGAAATTGCAGCTTCTATTCAGAACAGAGAAAGGGCTTACATACTCAAGAACTAGCCTACTTTTCCTAGCTTTACTAATCAGCATAACAAAAGGTATTTCTTTTACCTACAAACCTTGTCTTGATAGAAGTTATTGAAAATGAAGCAGAAGCAATTATCCACTCCCAAAACACACACTTAATCCCTATATTTTATTAAGAGTGGTTTTTATGATCCTGAAGCAATTAAGTTAATCATTATTTAATTTTAGATTACTGAACTGAAGATTTACTTCAGATACAAGCTCACTTTCCACATAATTTAGTCTCAGTAATTAGAGATGTACTTTACCCAGAGGTGGCTTGTTTAAAGCATGTTATCTAATTTCACAAGCCTTATGTCATTGAGTTTTCATGCAGAAATCTACAAATCAAACTTCAAAAAAAATAAAACCCCCCAAGAAACTCAGCTTTACCAGACTGCAATCCTGTTTTGGATGCTTTTCTCACACAAATCACTTCCTTTACAACTTACTTTAACCAGAATGTAAGGTCTACAGGAAAGCGTACGTGTCTATTAGGATGCCCAGCAGGTATCTGCTGTGGGGTGTAACCAGTACTGAATCGTTCAGACACCTAAAGGCTTCTGTGACGGGTCACAGATAATAAAGATCAGGCATGGAGGTTCATACCGTATATATTTACCCTGGATATCATACCATTCGAAAACTGCTCAATTCCAACCTACTTCAGACGAATGTGTGTAAACATGCTGTTGAAACCAAACTGTACTAGGAAATGCCAGTTAGCCATCCAGCTAGCTCCTAGCCATCTAGCTCAGCTTTAGGTCTGTATACAGTTAATGGCATCACTAGCTGCCAGTCCATCTGGGCTGGCACACTGCCCAAGGCCAGTTTTATGTCAAAACACATTTGCTGTTTTTTGGAACAAAGGGTATCATCTTCCACCGCTGTCATTAGAGAGAAGGAAAACAGATGACCAGGCCAGCATTTTAAAAACATACACCACTTTTTGCAACATTTTGTCTTCAAAATTGTACGACAAAAACAACACACACAACTGCTCAACACTCAATTAAATTCAACCATATTCAGACCAATAGAGAACTACCTCTATAAATGTGGAAGATGTAGATTCAATTGAAGGCTTTAATGGCAGTACTTTTATGATACAGTTTGACTTGCTGCATAGAAGAAAGGCTACAGAACTCATTTCAGCAAAGACTGACGAAGAATAAAGTCATACAGCTACAAAGAGATCGGGACACAACAGGTTTGCTGAAGGGACATAACTCAAAATAAATATAATTAAGCCTCAGCTATCTGGATTTTCAACAAACATTATTTAATACTTTTCCATGTGGTATCGCATTAAATATGCAGAGTTGGATACCAGTAGAGGAACTGTGACAGCAGTAAAGATCAGAGAATCACAGAATGCTTTGGGCTGGAAGGCACCTTTAAAGGTCATCTAGTCCATCCCCCCTACAACTGGCAGGGACATCTACAACTCCATCAGGTTGCTCAGAGCCCCACCCAGCCTGTCCTTGAATGTTTCCAGGGATGGGGCATCTACCACCTCTCTGGGCAACCCATTCCAGTGTTTCACCGAACATCCTGCCCAAAAGAGATGGTGACAGACAGCATGGGAAGAAAAAGCTGCAGACACTTCAGAAGTTACTAATGAAAACACTGAACAAACCCCAGCAATCAGTCTTCTGCTTCATTTTTAACCAATCAATGGATTGCATACAAAAAAAGTAATTATGGCAGCTGATGACAAAGCTGGGAAGCAATCTGAACATGAAGGTGTGTTGAGTTGTTATACAACAGGCACCACGACCTTAAAGACTGGAGACGTAGGAGCGGGAAGAAAGTCACTAATATACAACGCACAATCACATATACAAAATAAACAAGCCCCAGCTAGACACCAGAGGATGATCAGTGCCTGGAGCAGAAGGGCCTGGATGTGCTAGCCCATCCTAGCACAAAATGGCTGTGAGTCATCACCCAGATGCAGCTGTGAAAAACGTACATGCAATCCCAGGATGTATCCCGAGAAACGTTTCCAACGCAGACGTGAAGCACAGGGAAGTACATAGGAGGCACTGCTAGAATCCCATCTGGAATACCGCACAAAAGAGGCTGTCCATGTTCCAAAAGGAGGCACTAGAAACACAGGAAAGGGAAGGAAGATTTCCAGCATTGACAGCATCCACAAAGACCGGCACACACGGCAGGGGGATGCAGAGGCATTTACAGGGGATGCAATTGCTCCCTGTAAGACAGTAAAGATAACCACTATGAAGGGAAATAAACCATTTGAGCCAAAAAAGGCTGCGGATACCAGAACAAACAGATATCAGCTGGCCAGCAGTAAGGTTAGGCTGGAGCCTACCAGAAGAGCAAAGCTCTGGGAGAAGCTTTTGGTGACAATAAACCTAAATGCTTAAGGAGGCCCTTGTTATATGAAGGACATTACAACACACTACCTGCTTTCTATAGCTCCAACCATTTTTGTAGCTGTCCCATCTCACCATTCAATGAAGGGTCTGTGAAACTATCACCAAAAGCAGCTGGTTCAGTTCTCGGTGCTAGTGGGGGAAGGTGGTATGTGGTGTGTCAGTTACAGGGTAGCGGGAAGCTGAGTTACAGGGAAGACTGTAAATAGTTATCATAATCTTCCTGCATACCTAAAAGGCAAACAAATATCTCCTGATTTAAAATAATGTTAGCCATTTTGTTTACATTAAAATCCTCACATGCAACTATGGCAATTAAAAGTGTGTATTAAAAAAGCTCAGCAAGCCATGAACAGCACCTAATCCTACTTCCCAATATCCCACAAGAATGAGAGCTGTAGAAGCGACGCAACAGAGCATGCCACAGTTCAACAAATTGCATCATTCAAGGCAAGCTGCTCCTTGGAACAAGCACATTCTCTGGTCTTGAAGCAATTCTTGAACACTGCCTCCATGGCATATCAAAGGCATCTTTGCCTTTTCACTGCCTGTGTACAGCATCTCTCATGCAGGCATTTTACTAAAACTGATAAAACTGAGGTCAAAGTTCCCAGAATTAAACACTGCAACTGGTAGGAGAACAATTTCTGGTTCAATATTGAAGCACAGCAGTGTTATGCAAGACAACAGGATTTGAAGCAAGTTTTGGTCTGACACTGTTTATTGTACTGGTGCCTGCATAAGAGGTACTTGAGCTCTAAAGAAAGAGAGAGCAGCTCTTCCCATTTAGGATCCTCACCTTCCCCAGTTTAAAAAAAAATATATATATATTATTTTTTAAAAAACATGAACTGGAAACTGCAAGTTGTACCAAATTGCTTTTCTGATGTCAGAATTCTAAGACCGAACAAACAGATTTAGGCAGTACATTGAGGATAAAAGAGCCGCATTTAAGTACACACATATTTTTCCATTTAAAAAAAAAAAAAAGTCCCCCAATTAAATATAAATGCATGTGCACGCACTTAAACATTTATGCAGTTTCTCTCTTGCATAGTACCTTGCATTGAATTCAATATGATAACCTCCAAAACCCTGTTTCCATTAGCTACTTTGATACCACAGCTTTCAAAACATTCTCAGCGCTCCAACATTTAGGACATACAGGACTTGAAAGTGGACATATACAACTCTGTCTTCAGCATCATTTCACAAGTGGAACATTTCATTCCTTTTTGTTTGTTTCTTTCTTTTTTTTTTTTTTTTTTTAATAATTTATTAAAACTACTGAATCCATTTTCTGGTCAGTTTCCTTCCTCGCCATAGTAAGTATCAGTATCTTTGAATCTCCTGATTATCTGCTTGACCCACAGCTCAGTCCCTTCCATAAAGACCATCTTGCATATGGTAATATCCCGATATTGACGGAGGAATGGCAGTTAGGGAAAAAAAAACCAAAATGAAACAGAAAAAGGCTTGATAATTTGTTTTTAATCACAAGTTAACTTTCTCCCTAGATGGTAAAACTGGTTTCATGGCAAATCTCTCTCAATGTCTTATAAAATCATACTGATATTAACAGAACGGCTTCAGGAAATTATTTCCTGCCACCATCCCGCTACTGTGCCCATCATCTCTTAGAAAGAGGGCCCCTAAAAACTAAATGCTTTCCTAATGATATTTGGAAATGACTGACTCTGAAAGCACCTTCAGAAAAAGAAGTCTTCACTCATAGTAGGAAAAACTAGGAGAATGTCAATAAATGATGAGGGGTTTACAACAAACCATCAGAAGTGCTTTTACCCCCCCATAATGCATGACTGAACCGTGACCCTTCTTGCCATGGCTGTCATAGGTGGCATAAGTAGACTGAAAAGAGAGGGACCAGAATTATTAATGACATGGAAATTAGGAGGATATGACAGAGCAAAGAGCAGTCATTGTGTTGACTGTAAATCCTTTGGTAAGGCATCCATTATAAGCCAGACGACTGACCTAGACAGACCAACGAGAGACAGACTCTCTCACTTTTCAAAATGGATATTAGACTTCTGTAGCAAGCAAAGCATTTGATTTTCCATTGCAACGTGCAACCAAACCCTTTGGTTTTGAGCTTCTCTTTGTAAGATGGTGAACAGACAAGCAAGAATGAAGTGGATGAATGTACCTGTGGCCTCGTAACTCTGCAAAGTTCCCTGTTCGCTCATCGAGAGAGAACTTGAGCACCAGCAGACG